TATCTATCTATCTATCTATCTATCTATCTATCTATCTATCTATCTATCTATCTATCATCTAGCTAGCCAGCAGCAAGGCTGGAGTCAGTTACACTGGTGATGGGTACACCACTGGAAGACCAGAAGGACCAGAAGGATTCTTTATCATGGAGAAGATCTATCTATGTCAGTGTTTTCTGAACTTGGCAACTTTAAGATATGCAGACTTCAACTCCCAGAATTCCCCAGCCAGCATGATGACACATAATCAATCAGTATATCATAATATACTTATGCTAGAATTTGGTGATTTGCTGATCTTATAAGATATTTTGACCAATTTAATTTTTAAACATTCACTTGCAGCTTTTAGGACATCTTGGGCTGTTGTAACCTCTGTGCGCCAGAGTGTGCCTTGCTGCTGTCCACAGTGCAAGTTCATTTGGTTGACTGTGTAGACCAGACTTTGAAGAATGGATTTCAGTGAGATCCAGTCGGTACACTTCTGCAAACAAGGGGCCTATGTCTACAACCACCAGCTCAAGATAAAGGACACTGTAGACAAAAGGGGCTTATTCATGGATGCAGCCCACTTTACATACCTGGTATCAGCTGAGGAGGACTTTTCTTCACGGTTCTCTTCTGGACTTGAAGACTAATGTTGACTTCATTGGCCAGAGGCCCATCAATGATCAGGGAAAGGAAGAGAGTGCAGAGCAGCAGGTGCATCTGAAACATACGTCAGAAGGGCATTTCACATTTTGGAAACATCATCTATAAGCTGGCATTTTATTCATTCCCCTCTCCCCCTATCCTTGCTAGTTGCACTTGTGTTTTAAACCCTTGTCTTACATACCAAAGAACAAAGAGGAAACTTTTATATAGGCACTTTTTAAATGTGCAGCTATAGTTAAATATGGACAGGGCTAGAAAAAGGTATCAATCTGAACAGTAAGAAATGAAGAAAAAAGTGCCCGGCTTTTGAACATCAAACAGAAATGATTCAATGCCTATTTTTGAAAAAAACAACTCCCCACTAAATAAACCACCAAAACCACTCTTAAGTAACTGTGCATAAAATTATATGCACAGTTGAATGTTTAGACTAAAGTAGTAACTTACTATGAATAACTAACTGGTTGCGTGATTGAATTCTATAGCGTGGAAGAGACGCATTTATATTTGTTTAATCTTTTTCCTTCTCCAGTGCCTGGAGGGAAGGGGGCATTCCCATCATAAGCCTTGTAGCCCATTAGAGTGGAGGGGTTTGCCTACAATGAAATGAAGCACAGCAGGTGAACTAGACAGCGTTGCTAGAGCCAGCACAACTTTAAAAAATGCCACTTTTGATCTGTAGCAGAAAGAGATGGGTGGAAGTTTGCCCTCCTGGGCATGGGAAGATTAAGCATTTCAGATGGCTTTTGGGGCTGTCATGTCCAAAGCTTAGCTCAGTTTTTAACCCAAGTGGCTGGCTTTTAGAAAAATCAGTCTCAGTCTCAGTCTACTATAAGTGACAGGGCTACTGAGCAAAAACAGAGATACTGATTTGAAGTTGGAAATTGCTAATAAAGTGCTGCAAGGATATCACCTGCCATTCTCCTAAGAGGCAAAATTTATCCACAGGTAATGTTAGTTAAGCGGTATCTTGCACAAAATACTGACCTATCACTGAGTATGTATATAATGAAGGCAGCTTACCTTGGGATCTACTTCAGAAGTCCACAGCTTTTGGTGTGGCACCTCCTGCCCTATTTATGTGATTTCCAGAGAAGAGTAAGAAGGGTATAGGGTGGGACTTGTTTTGCCAAGAGATAAGCCTTAATTGGGTAGTGGTGGGAGTTTCATAAGGGCTTGAGAATATCCCCTTTCTGGTTATCACAAAGTGGCACCTTGAAGATGATTTATGGAGAGTCTATCTCATAAACCCTCCAGTTTCTAAAGCAAATATTTGACTAGAATTCGCAGGTGTTCCTTTGGCACTCTGTCGTGCACTGTAGCCATTCAGATGTTTTTCAGAAGCCTGCAACTGGAGCCTGAAGACTTCAGCCCTCCCTCCTACACTTTTCCAGCCAATGGCATTCAGTGGCACACAGGTTCTGAATGTACTGGCTTCATAGAAGCACCATAATTAAAGTACAGATAGAAAAGATGGCATTCATTTATTTTATTCCCTTGGAAAGGCATGTTGGTAGTGATCATTATTACACCTTCTGGCAGTGAATTCCATAGATATATATTGCATGAAAGAACACTCTTTTTTGTCTGCCCTGAATCAATTTCATTGCGTGCTTCTGCTATTACCAGAAAGAATTAGGAAAATTCTGCTTCCCTTGTTTCTTCATCTTGTGTGTAACTGACGGTCTTATTGTTGCCATTATTGCTCTGAAAATGACACTGCCCCAACACCCTGATCTTTTGCTCTGTTCTGCTTCTTTGACTATGTGGTAATAAGATTTTTCATCTTAGAAGAAAGCAGCTTAACATAGAACTCACTCATTCTGCCTGGATATCATAACAGAAGGGGCAAAATCTAACAATGATGGAGATCCTTACAGAAAGTACAGTATACAGTAGTAGAACATGCTGTCTTGTTTTAGTTTCCCCAAATTCGCATGGGTATATAAAATCAGCTAAAAGAGCTTACCTCCCTTGCAAAAATTATTTTCTCAGTCTGGGAAAGATGACTGTTTGCAGGTACATTTTGCAGCCCACACTCTCCTAAATGATGCAGAATTATCAGAATGAGGTTAACAGAATCTTGCATTCTGATATTTTATATCATTTAGACTTTAGAGAAAAAAACCTTTTAGCTTGTTCATACCCAGTAGATGTAAGAAATACTATGGAGAGCTCATATAACATTAATTTATGACCAACTGTTGATTTCCAACTCAGTGGGTAGTCATCTGGCCAGTAACCAGTCATATGCCTCTACTCCCCCATGCCCATTTTAGGCATCCTGGTCTCTAATCTGAGTGATAAAAGATATACACACCAAGGGACAGCAAGGCTATACCCCAGGAATTGTGTTTGTATGATCTCTGTTGTATTCTTCTTTGCATAAGTTTCCACTTGGACATTATGTATAATTTGGGCCAAAGTCTTAAAGCTAATGTTTTTAAAACTCCTCTATTGGGGAAAATGAAAATGGATTTTAATGTTATTTGGGAGGCACATTTGGGGCTTTCCAGATCTCTTCAGAATGGAATACTACTCCCAAATATTTCAAGTTATGATTGTGGATCTGTTCTGTTCTGTTCTCTTCAACAATCCATCTTTGGAGTTTGCATTTTTGATTTTGAGAAATTGATGGCCAGCCTGCAATACTGAATTATAAATCTTACTGCTCTTGGGGTATGTGAAATGACAGCTACATCATCCATATGCAAGATTATGGGAATATTACATTCTGCTCGAAAATCTGGGTTGTCTAAAATTTTTTTTTTAAATAGTAATTTTATTAAAAATTACAATTACAACAATAAAAAATAGTGCAAGCTAAAAAAAGAATAAAAAGAAAAAATAGAAGGTGCAGAAAAGAAAAAAATCTAGAAAGAGAAAGGAAAAAGAAAGAAAAAATAAAAAATATAGTAAAGAAAAAGAAAAGAAATATATAAAGGAATGACTTCCCCCTTCATAACCACAAGTATAAACAATTTTAGTAACTTATCACCTTCCCTTAAAATAGAACAAATAAACTCTTCTTCCTATATCCCATTTCTTAGTTATAAACAAATCCTTAAAGCCTCGTTGTTTCAGTCCTGATTGGTAAAGATCCATTAAGGATTACCAGATATAACAACATATCTACAGGTATTTTAACCTTGATCAAATAACCAACTTTATAATCCTTCCTTTTACTTCTAACAATCTTGATCTTTATTCCCTTCAAATAATGTCCTAGAATTTGATTTCTTTTCATTTTTAATTTGTCCCTTCTCACTAAATACTTCAAAGCTTTAACAAGCCTCTTTTGTAAATCCAATATAGGAAGATTATCCAGGTCATTCTTTTGGTTTATTTGTATATCCCTTTTAATTATTAAGACATCAGCCGATTTCTTTTTTATGCCCAGTGTAACGTCTTTTTCCATGTCATTCTTGTCGCTTTTTTTTTTTTTTGGTAGATTTTTAAATCCACTTTCAAATCAGTCTCAATCTTGTTGGGTAAAACTTGTTCCTCTTCCATAATTTTTAGACATAGTCTCTCCATAGAGGCAAATGTCTCTGTTGACACTATTAAAATTAACTTCTGAGTCCATTGTTTAAAAACATCCTTCAGTATGTCCAATGTTAGAATATTTTGCTTCATACTGTATTTGTAAGACAGTTTAAGTGTTCTCCTTTAATTGTAATTTTTAGTTTCTTACTTATTTATTTATTTGTATTTCAAATTTAGATACTGCCCATCTCACAAAAAGTGACTCTGGGCAGTTCACAATTAAACAGCAATAAATATTAAAAATACAATAAAACAATATAAAATACAGTAAAAATAGAATAAAGCCAAACACATACACAAGTAACATCTTCCAAGAA